TTTTTTTTTTTTTTTTGGTCTCCAAATGTGAACAATATCAAGAGGAAAAAAAAGTGTACGTGGAAGAAACAGTCCAGTAGTGGAGTCCAGAGTTCAACGTAAACATGGTGAAGCTGCATTTCGCTGTTATGCTGCGCATAAATGAAATGAAAAGCTGGCAACAGAAGTGAAAGCACCCCCGAGTTTAAATGCTTAAATGCAGACACACACACTCACACGCTCGCACATACGCACGCTCACACGCACACACACACACACACACACACACACACACACACACACACACACACACACACACACACACACACACACACGTGATCGAGACTAAAGTCTGCGATTGCTGAAGGCTCCGACGGCTAATTGAGAATAGCATGTTTCTTGCCTCCTGAGCCAGTTCAGGCCCAAGCCAGCTCGCCCTCTGACCTCCAAAGCCTCGGCGGAGCAGTTCTCCGTGCTCTTCCTCTTCTTATTGTCTCCTCTTCCTCTACTCAAAGCCCGCCAGCTGAGCTTGCTGGAGAGAAAATATAAATCAAGCTCATGGCAACATGGGTAGGGAATGGGGCAAAGTGGCTGGAGCTGTTCTATTTCTGCTCTGCAGGCTCACCAAGAGACATATTTCGTTTTTCTGGAACACAATTTTATAGATATACATCCTGCGGCTCTGAACATACCGGCGGAAAACAATATAGCCTACTTGTGCACCACTTCAACGCTTGAGTGGTTTTGATTTTGCTAATAGAAAACAAAAAAGCTGTCTGTTTGTTTTCTTTAGGTTTGGCCCAACTGTGCACTTGGACTGAGCGTGTTTTTGTGCGTGCACGTGTGTGCGTATGTGTGTGTGTATGTGTGTGTGTGTGTGTGTGTGTGTGTGTGTGTGTTTCAGTCATCATGTGGGAGCCAGCACACTTGACAGGATTTTACAAAGCATTTGGAAGGATTCTCCTGTGGGTTCTCCTCACCGATCCGTGTTGGAGCACAAGACTCAGACACTCACTGACCTTTTTTTTTTTTTTTTTTTTTTTTTTTTTTTTTGCTGCATGTGTTTGAGCTCAGTGCGTGAGAAGCCGCACTGGGCTGCCTCGCTTTGGCGCTATTCCACACGTCTCATCGAGCTCGACTCGGCCTCAGCCTCCTCGGCTCGCCTTTCTCAAATGAATAAATGTGATTGAGCGAATGGCATTACCTGGGCAAAGGCATGCTTCCCAAAGGAGTGGACAAGACCTAACACCAACCAGCCTGAGGGGAAAGCTTATTATCATTGCAAACTCCTTCGATGAGGGCGGCAGCTGTGGGGCTGCTCTGAGGTCCACATTTCCATATTAATCTGGCACATTTAGGCACCGGAGACAGAAGGCCTCCTGTCACACTTGTATGATAACGGAGAATTTAGCTTTCCCCTCTCATGTATAAATATGTCGAACTCTGATAAGATTAATTGAATGGATGTGGCAGGAAAGAAGTGGGAGGAAGGGCAAGCAGACACGTAATGTGGCCAAAGCCTTCCTTTCTGCCGCTGAGGCAGTGTGAGCTCCCTGCTGGGGCTCCCAAGTGCCTTGAATCAAAAATAGCATTCTACGTCAGGAATTCTCAAAAAGAGCTGCAAGAAAAAGCTTTTGGAGCCAGCCGGTAAATATGGTGTGGAGCCTCTGACACCCAAGCCTCACCCCAATTTTCCCTGCTCTGAGGAGATCAGATAGGCCCGTGTTGTTTGATTTTTTTTTTGCCTTATCTCATCTGCGCCCATCTTTTTGTCCCATGCAGGGCTAACGCTCATTGCTTGTATCTTTTGAAGGGCAAAACCATGTAGGAATAAACAAAACTCTCTTGCTGTTTGGTACTGAGTGCTCATACCTCACGATTGTCATTCATTTGACACGATGGATGCAAATCATAACGAGTACATGTCGTGTGTTCATGACAACACTTCCTTAATGATGGCGTGTCCACTTCTGGACACAATTAAGATCCCATACAGCTCTCCATCCTTTCCTCAAAACAAACAGTGATTTGTTGTTGTTTTTGTTTTTCTGTAAAGCTTGCATGGTTCAGGGAAGCCTGTGCAGTGACATGCGCTGGAGCCATATTGTTGCCCGGCTTGACATAACATCACTATACAATACGATGTAATGCTCTGGAGCATTTCCAAAAAGTTGCCATGTGGAAGGAATACATTCCACGGAAACCTGACAATAACTATGTATAATTTATCCTCATCTGAGCCATTCAGTCAACTATAAAAAAAAAAAAAAAAAAATCACCAAAATTAGACAATTTACATAATTTTTACTCAGGCCATCAGAAGTGGGCGAGGCATGCATTGACGAGTTGAACCCCCCCATATACAGGACCTCAAACAAATTAATTTGTTGTGTTTAAAGTGAAATAATTTTATTTATTTTTTTTCCCCCGGAGGACCACAACGTTGGGCAATTGTTTGGAATACTTGTCGACACCTTTGATTTCGGAAACACTGAGATGCATGAAAATTGATCAATTATTCAGTTTTAATTCCTCTTCTATGAATGCAATATTAATCAGAATAGCCTATTTATACTATTAGGGGCACAAACATTTTCTCCCCCCCCCCCAAAAAAAAGTTTAATTTCTTTTCAAGTAATGTCGATAGATTTTATTAATATTTGATTACCACCCAGACAAGACATCTTTTTAGTTTTTTGGGGGAAAGGCCTTGCAGTCACACAACACAGTCTGTTGCCCCAAAAGGCCCCATTTTCCGAGAAAAGGGCCCAAAATTGACTAAGCCTAATGCAAGGCAATGATGGAATTGGGTCGCCAAGTTGACAACATGATATCCAACAGCGACTGAGCAGTGCGGTGTGTGGAAAGAGTGTCCACACTTTCACTTGTACATGTTGTATGTGGAAGTGAGGAGGACACAGTGAAGTGGAGCAGTGTGACCAAGCGAAGAGACGTTCAGAGTTGACTAAAGGTAAAAATCAAAGTCATCGGAGAGCGCTGTTCACAAACAAGGAATGGGGGGCGCACGTCAGTCTATGAGTGACCTCTCACATGAGACAGTGTTGTCTGGGGCCACAGCAGAGTGACTACGAGGACACTGACATGCTCACACACACACACACACACACACACACACACACACACACACACACACACATACGCGGCACACACACACTCTCCTCGGACCGGCCTGTGAGAACAAGCTGGGAAAGTGATTGATGACTAAAACCGAGCTATAGCGCGCCCTGGCCCCCAAAGGCATCCCTGCAAAATGATGTGCATCCTTATAAATAAACATACCCCAAATAAACACATACCAAAAAATGCAAAACAATCGGTTTGGGTTTGTTCTTATGCAAATATCTCCTTGAGACAAAAATCTACTGAGCTTTTGTTCTTTTCTTTGATGAGACTTTTCTATTTAGGTGTGCACATGTGAGTGATGAGCTCAAAGCCAACAAGGCCCAGCAGCTGAGTGCATGTTGTTTTCTCTCTCTCTCATTGAGCCACCTTGCACTCTCATTTGGGAGTGCTCCAAATTGTCACAGCTGCACGCATGCCTGTGTGTGTGTGTGTGTGTGTGTGTGTGTGTGTGTTTGTGTGTGTGTGTGTGTG